CTGTCTGTCTGTCTGTCTCTCTCTCTACGATAAATGTTGATCCAAAATTCTAGTTTTTTTTCGTATTATCAATTTGTTTTAAGAGATATATTGCTCTCGTTCCACTAGAAATATAAATATATACATATTTTTACAGCAGAAACGGAAGATAGAATCTATTTCAGCACAATCTACCAACATTTATATAGCAGACAGTTTTGCAGTCGCTGAATGGCATTGGCAATACCAGTACTATCATGATAATTATTACAGTTTTCCGCAATTAAAGCCATCGATAACTATGCTATGATTTTTTGGGAAATATAATGTTTCATTAAAATGCCCGGAAACCCAATGACGCTTTGATCCAAGTGCAATTATAATCATCATCACAATTACTACCATGCAATACCAAAAGCATTAGATCTCATATCAGTATAACACCGCAAACATTCATTAAAAAAAAAAAAAAAAAAAAAAACAGTCTAAATTGCATCGCGTCCCGTATACAACTATGATAATTTTCATGATTAATATCATTCGCTATTAAAATCAGCAGTTATTCATCAGGATTCATGCCGGTAACTGAAGCATTTTCAGGATATTACAATTCACAGAAAAGCCCATAAACCAAATTACTTTACAGGAAGACCAAAGACCAGTATCATATTTAGCATTCATGTTACGCTGCTCCTTCAAATTCATCAGCTTTTTAACCGAATTCGCCTCCATTGCAACCATTTTCCCTTCATTCATCACCAAAAACACACACAAAAAAAGACTAAACCTACACCATAACCTTTGCAAGATGACGATTATTGAAAACATCGCCGGGATATTAAAATCGCCAGAATTTCATCAGAATTCCTATCGGAGACTGCAATGATTTCGCTTCACATCAAAAGGATTATAAACGGAATTACGCCCTCGCTGAGACCGGATTCCACTCCGTTGCACATAGGAGTATTAGATCTTCCTGTCACTTACTTCCGTAGCATCTAAGGATTTACCTGGATTTTCTCTTCCGTCCCTGTCTCTCCTCTTCGTCGTGTCTCTGTTTCTCTGTCTCACTAGCCATATATATCTCTCTCTGTTTGCATTTACATTCTCTTGTTTCGTCTCTCTATCGCCCTCTCTCTATCTTTTTATCTGCCAGTTTGCTTTCTCGCTTACTACCTCATCCTAATCTTTCTTCCTTCTCTCTCTCTCTCTGTCTCTCTCTCTGCTCTCTCTCTCTCTTCTCTCTCTCTCTCTTCTCTCTCTTCTCGATCTTACTTTTTATTCTCTCTCTCTCTCCGCTCTTCTACTTTTATCTCTCCTCTCTCTCTCTCTCTCTTCTCTCTCTTCTCTATCTCTCTCTCTCTTCTTCTCTCTCTCTCTCTCTCTCTCTCTCCTCTCTGCTCTCTCTCTCTTCTCTCTCGTCTCTCTCTTCGCCTCTACTTTTATTCTCTCTCTTCTCTCCTCGCTCTCTCTCCTCTCTCTCGTATTCTCTCTCAGCTATCTTTTTTTACCTCTGTTTCTCTCCTCTCTCTCTCTCTCTCTCTCTCTCTCTCTCTCTCTCTCTCTCTCTCTCTCTCTCTCTCTCTCTCTCTCTCTCTCATCTCTCTCTCTCACTCTCGATCTCTATCCATCTTATCTCTCTCCTCTGATTCATCTATATCTATCTATCTATCTCCATCTTCTCTGTGCATCTATCTCTGAACTTTGCCTTCTGTGTCCATCTCTTCCCGCCTTCCCTCATTTTCCCTATTTGCCAATGTATCCGTATACTGAAGCGAGGTAAGTAACACATGCTCAGCCTACGATTAGTTCTTCCTGTTTACAATACACTGATTGGCCTTTATCTTTTCGCTTTTAAAGGGGGTCTTTCCCTTCCGGCTTTTCGTCTTGGGGGGATGGAGTTTTCTGGAGAAGCTTAGCCAGGGAAGTAGCTTATCCGAATTATTTTGAAGAATAAGTCTCAAAAGGATTGTTGTTGACTACTTTCTGTCTTCTTTTTTCTTGTCTCTTCTTTTTTTTCTGTTTGTTCTGTCTGTCCCTTTTTTTCGTTTTTTTGTCTTCTTTTGTCTCTCTCTGTCTTTTTGTCTGTTTGTTTGTCTGTCTGTCTGTCTGTCTGTCTCTGTGTCTGTCTTCTCTCTCTCTCTCTCTGTCTGTCTGTCTGTCTGTCTGTCTGTCTCTCTCTCTTCTCTCTCTCTCTCTCTTCTCTCTCTCTCTCTCTCTCTCTCTCTCTCTCCTCTCTCTCTCTCTCTCTCTCTCTCTCTCTCTCTCTCTTTCTTTCTCTCGTTTTCTCTTTTCCTTTTTCCCTGTCTCTCTTTCTCTCAGCAACGTTATATATTACATACATTATATTAATATACATGTGTCTATGTAATATGTGAGTGTGTGTCTGAGAGAGAGAGAGAGAGAGAGAAGGAGAGAGAGAAGAGAGAGAGAGGAGAGAAGAAGAGAGAGAGAGAGAGAGAGAGAGAGAGGGAGAGAGAGAGAGAGAGAGAGAGAGAAGAGAGAGAGGAGAGAGAGAGAGAGAGAGAGAGAGAGAGAGAGAGAGAGAGAGGAGAGGAGAGGAGGGGAAGGGAGATAGAGACAGGCAGACAGACAGAGAGAAAGGTAAAAGTAGCCGAAAATGATGATGCATACATAAGAATAAGATTGAATACCTATTTAGTTATGGATACAAATACGAATACAAAAGTAGTGGAAATGTAAATAAGGATATGAATCTAAATAAAGATTTTGAAATTGAGAAACCACATATTCATCATCTTTTTTAATATGATAATCGTCTCAATGTCTTATGTTGTCATTTTTTGTTTGTTTTCACATTAAAATTTCGTCATCGGCCCTTTTATTTGCACCTTTTTGTGAATTTCTTCGGTTTATCATAGACCCCCCTTGAGACGAATTCGGTTTCTTTCGTGTGGTCCTTGGGTCACGATTTTCTCTCGGGTTTTGCCTCGTCTCTCTCTCTCTCTCTCTCTCTCTCTCTCTCTCTCTCTCTCTCTCTCTCTCTCTCTCTCTCTCTCTCTCTCTCTCTCTCTCTCTCTCTCTCTCTCTCTCTCTCTCTCTCTCTCTCTCTCTCTCTCTCACTCTCATCTCTCTTCTTCTTCTTCTTCCCTCTCTCTCTCTTCTCTCTTCTCTCTCTGTCGTCTCTCTTCTCTCTTCTCTCTCTCTCTCTCTCTCTCTCTCTCTCTCTCTCTCTCTCTCTCTCTCTCTCTCTCTCTCTCTCTCTCTCTCTCTCTCTCTCTCTCTCTCTCTCTCTCTCTCTCTCTCTCTCTCTCTCTCTCTGTCTTCTATCCTTCTCTCTCTCTCTCTCTCTCTCTCTCTCTCTCTCTCTCTCTCTTCTCTCTCTCTCTCTCTCTCTCTCTCTCTCTCTCTCTCTCTCTCTCTCTCTCTCTCTCTCTCTCTCTCTCTCTCTCTCTCTCTCTCTCTCTCTCTCTCTTTATCCCTCCCTCTCTCTATCTATCTATCTGCCCATCTGTCTATTTATCTATCTCTATCTATCGATCTGTCTACCTATCTTTTTATCCATCTTTTTCACACTTTGTTCCGCAATATCTTCTCTATCTTCTCTTTTCATTTTGCCTTTTTTGTCTCTGTCTGTGCCTCTCCCGTCTCTCTTTCTTGCCTCAGTTATCAAGCCTTTCTCACTTTCATTTCCCCGGCTCGTGCTTGTCATTTCCCAAAACGCCAACATCAGCTGTCCCGTAAATCTTCTAACTCGGTTTTCGTCCGTTTTCGTGCGTTCGACTTTACTTTTTATTTATGTGGTGTCTGGTTCGTATTTCTTTTTTTTTTTTATTTTGTTTATTTTTGTGTTTTTTGTATATTTTTCTTTTTTTTTTAGTTATGCATTATTGTTATTGTTTTCTTTTTTGACGAGAGTGGGGTGAGGCATTTTTTGTGCATATGTAATATATATAATATATATATATATATATTATATATATATATATATATATATAATATTATATATATATATTATTTTTTTTTTCTTCCTCTTCTTCTTCTCTTTCTTTTCTTTCTTTCCTTATATTTCAATTTTATGTCAATTTCAATTATACTCTTCACTAATCTTTTCACTCTCCATTTCTCCTCTCTTTTATCTCTTTTTATCTCTTTCTCTTTCTCTTTTCTTCTCTGTCTGCCTGTCTGATTGCCTGCTCTCTCTCTCTCTCTCTCTCTCTCTCTCTCTCTCTCTCTCTTCTCTCTCTCTCTCTCTCTCTCTCTCTCTCTCTCTCTCTCTCTCTCTCTCTCTCTCTCTCTCTCTCTCTCTCTCTCTCTCTCTCTCTCTCTCTCTCTCTCTCTCTCTCTTCCACCCTTAACTCTCCTTCCTCCTTTCCCATTTCCGTTCCTCTTTCTCGATTCCCCTTTCTCCCCCTCTTCTTTTTATTCTCTATCCTCCATGGCTTCTCATTTCTCACTACAGCCGACTCCATTCCCCTCCATCTCTCCCTCCCACTGTAATCGTAAATCTGTATCCAACATGTTCGATGATTGGGGTTGAAATCTGAAAATCTGGTCAAATTATAAACCTTTATTTTTCTGTCTTCTTTCATTTTGTGTGTTAATAATAAATTATTTGCTTGGGAGATGTTAGAATTATTCTCTTATCTATCTTTTCTCTCACTCTCTCTCACTCTCTCTCTCTGTCTCTCTCTCTCTCTCTCTCTCTCTCTCTCTCTCTCTCTCTCTCTCTCTCTCTCTCTCTCTCTCTCTCTCTCTCTCTCTCTCTCTCTCTCTCTCTCTCTCTCTCTCTCTCTCTCTCTCTCTCTCTCTCTCTCTCTCTCTTCTCTCTCTCTCTCTCTCTCTCTCTCTCTCTCTCTCTCTCTCTCTCTCTCTCTCTCTCTCTCTCTCTCTCTCTCTCTCTCTCTCTCTCTCTCTCTCTCTCTCTCTCTCTCTCTCTCTCTCTCTCTCTCTCTCTCTCTCTCTCTCTCTCTCTCTCTCTCTCTCTCTCTCTCTCTCTCTCTCTCTCTCTCTCCTTCTCCTCTCCCTCACTCGTCTCCCTTCTCTCCCCGCCCCCGCAGCGTGCCAGGCAAGAGGAACCTCTCGTACAGCTGCTGCCCCGAGGTCTACGTGGACGTCACCTTCAAGATCCACATCCGCCGCGAACGCTCTACTACTTCAGCAACCTCATCATGCCCTGCGTTCTCATCTCCTCAATGGCGCTACTCGGCTTCACGCTCCCGCCCGACTCCGGCGAAAAGCTCACCTTAGGTAAGGGCCGCCGCGGGGACTCGGGCAGGGCCGTGGACGAGGTCAGGGACGCGCGGTCAGGCGTCTCTAGGCATTCTATTGTGTGTTGGATATGGTATTTATGTGAAATTATTGTGTGTGTATATATATATATATATATAATATATATATATATATATATATATATATATATATATATATATATATATATATATTATATATATTTGTATGTATAGAATAAAATATACATAGATATATATATATATATATATATATATATAATATATATATATATATATTATATATATATATTATATATATATATATATATATATATATACTGTGTGTGTGTGTGTGTGTGTGTGTGTGTGGTGTGTGTGTGTGTGTGTGTGTGTGTGTGTGTAGATAAGGTATAGGTGTGTGTGTGTTGTGTATGTGTGTGTGTGTAGTTATATATATATATATATATATATACTATATATATATATATATTATATATATATATATATATATATATATATATATATATATATATATATATTATATATATATATATATATATATATATATATATATATATAATATATATATATATATATATATATATATATATATATATATATATATATATATATATATATATATATATATATATATATATATATATATTATATATATATATATATGTATTACATATATATACATATATATATGTGTGTATATGTATATGTATGTGAATATGTATGTATGTATATATACATGTATATTTGTGATTAATTTCCTTTTATATGTGATTTTGTCTGTATTATGTCAAAGATTCTGATATTGATGAACAAAATATTTGTCCCGTATCCATTTTAACTCTGTGTTCATGGACTCTTCTCTCTTTCTGTTTTCCTTTCTCCTTTTATTCCAGGGAAGCATCTTGAGATTATCAACAGGTTATCAGTGACACCAACTACATTAAATAGCCATAGTATATTTATTTAGACTATGTATTTTTACAAAGAAGATATGCTTTAAATACTGCCATGTATAATTAATGAAATCTTAAGACTGTAAGAACATGAAGATAAAATACGAAGCTGCATAAATTTATAATATATCGGTGTTAATTAATGTTAATTGAGGAAAATGACATAATTTTGTAATGATGGAATTCATTTTGAGAAATGACATCTAAACAACGACCTAAGTCTATCTCTATTATGACGTGTTATTATTTTAAAAAATTATATATATAAATAAGAACGACCAATGAATCATTTTCTTCAATAATGATAATAGTAAATAAAAAAGTCTGTTCAAGTGGCATGTAATTATCTTGTCGATGAATGTACTAGCAAATTAAACCATGGAAGAGTAATGTACATCAACGTCACCCTTATGTCACTAGCTTATAGGGTTCGATTTCTCTCACGTCGCGGATGAAATGTGGGTGGGGCCTTGGGTGCTATTAGGGGAGGGTCAACTAAAAGCTAATCTCATGGACCTCCTTTATGACCTATGACCTGACCTTCCACCTCATCGCGCGCCTCCATACGTCTCCTTCACTCCTTTTCGTTTTTTTTCCTTCATATGTCTTCTCCTTCATTATCAAGGGTGTGTTATTTTCGTCACTCTTCCGTCACTTTAGTACGTAGGTTTGCTAGAATTCGTCATTTTCGTCACTTAGTTTCATCGGTTTGTGTCAAGTGATTTCTAATTTTTGGATATACATTTTTTGTCACGTTGAATCGTTTTTTCGTCACTTTATTCTGCTCCGTCCCATATCTTTATCAATTCATTTCGCCAATTATCGTCATTTTACGTCATCTTATTTCGTCAGTTTTCGTCCGTTCAATTTCGTCTCTAATGCACGAAGATAAACTAGCACACTTTCGTGATTTATTGAATAGTCATCATCACACACACTTACTTCTCGCTTTGTCAAACTATTATCAGCAAATAGGATTTTCTGCTAATTGAACGCATTAGTGTGTTAATGAGCCTGTATATGATCAGAACGAGAATATTCATAGTTATATCACCAGTGTTAGGAAAGTGTAGATTGTCTAACAATGAGTTTATCTAACGAATATTTTCTTCATATTAGATAGAAGAATATAAATATAACAGTAAATACAATTGAATAAACAGTATAGTATATCATAATATAGTATTCTTTCGTATATCATATTACAGTATAAGATAGTGTTGTAGTCAGAATCTTAGTTGATAAGAATCTCAAGAAAAAAATGTGTAAAGAAAAGTTCAAAAGAATGTCATTGCAGAGAATATGTCTCTAGCTAAGATAGAATGAAATTACTTCTAAGGAGATTACTTCATCCTCTCAGAAAGGATCAAAAGATATTCTTTCTTTGTTTTCAGAAATGTTATCATAGGTATTATTTTGTCCTTTCTCTCTCTCTCTCTCTCTCTCTCTCTCTCTCTCTCTCTCTCTCTCTCTCTCTCTCTCTCTCTCTCTCTCTCCTCTCTCTCTCTCTCTCTCTCCTCTCTCTCTCTCTCTCTCTCTCTCTCTCTCTCTCTCTCTCTCTCTCTCTCTCTCTCTCTCTCTCTCTCTCTCTCTCTCTCTCTCTCTCTCTCTCTCTCACTCTCTCTCTCTCTCTCTCTCTCTCTCTCTCTCTCTCTCTCTCTCTCTCTCTCTCTCTCTCTCTCTCTCTCTCTCTCTCTCTCTCTCTCTCTCTCTCTCTCTCTCTGTCTGTTCCTGTCTGTCTGTCTCTTTCTGTCTGTCTGTCTGTCTGTCTGACTCTCTCTCTCTCTCCCTCTGTTTCTCTCTGTCTGCTCTCTCTCTCTCTCTCTCTCTCTCTCTCTCTCTCTCTCTCTCTCTCTCTCTCTCTCTCTCTCTCTCTCTCTCTCTCTCTCTCTCTCTCTCTCTCTCTGTCTCTGTCTCTGTCTCTCTCTCTCTCTCTCTCTCTCTTCTCTCCCTCTGTTTGTTTGTCTCTGTCTGTTCTCTCTCTCTCTCTTCTCTCTCTCTCTCTCTCTCTCTCTCTCTCTCTCTCTCTCTCTCTCTCTCTCTCTCTCTCTCTCTCTCTCTCTCTCTCTCTCTCTCTCTCTCTCTCTGTTCTGTCTGTCTGTCCTCTGTCTGTCTGTCTGTCTGTCTGACTCTCTCTCTCTCTCCTCTGTTTCTGTTTGTTTGTCTCTGTCTGTTTCTCTCTCCTCTCTCTCTCTCTCTCTCTCTCTCTCTCTCTCTCTCCTCTCTCTCTCTCTCTCTCTCTCTCTCTCTCTCTCTCTCTCTCTCTCTCTCTCTTCTCTCTCTCTCTCTCTCTCTCCTCCCTCCCTCTCCTCTCTCTCTCTCTCCCTCTCCCTCTCTCTCTCTGTCATATCATCCATCATTTCATTCATCCATTTATTACGCTTCTGATCGCACCCTTAACTAATCTTGGCATCAACATATTCACCAAACAGACTCAAGTGCGATAATATTACCACCGACGAAGAAAACTCAGTCAATAACAACACACGAGACAAATAATTGCGGTCCATTATTTTTTCATGTTAGGGTGTAAAGTGTTCTCTGTGCACGACTTCGGGATGTTATAGAGCTTGGGAGTTACGTCATAATACATTAAATAAGGATAGAGATGATAGTCTTTTGAAATGCGGATTCAGAGATATGTATGTTGTTCTTATCAATTGGAATAATTCTAGTCGTGTATTGTTTAGACTAATTAACAACACTGATAAATGTCCTTCCATGTTTTGTTGATTTATATATATTTTTTTTTCTCTTAATCTCTTTTTTTATCAATATACTTACTTAAATGTGATCAACATACGTGAAAGAGATAGAGAAAACATTCACAGTTTTATTGGTTAGCAGCTCAATATTTAGAGGGCAATGTTTTGTTGGCATTGCAGCCGAATTCCATTTCTATTACACGAAATTAAGGTTTCAGGCCCTGTGATCCAATCATGGGTTGGGAAAAAATCTAATTTAACTGGGTTTAATATACCAACTACGGAAGCCTGGGATATCTGCATGCAATCATGTGACTAGCATATAATGTTTGGTCAACATTTTGTCCATCATCGGTTATAAAGCATTTATTGGCCGATAGAAATTAGGTACATTTGTTTCTCTAATAATGATTGGCGGGCGCGTTCTCTCATTCTATGTGTCGCCTACATGTAAATATTGTATAATGGCAGATTATAACTTTTTTTTTAGGAAATTAATGTGTTCTCAAGTTTCATCTGCTTTTGGGTTACTTAAAGTAGAATATATAACATTTGATTTAGGTATGAGTAAATACATATGAACAAATACATGTGCGCATATTCATACACACATACACACACATATATACATGAACACACACGCACACACACATATATAATATATATATATATATATATATATATATATATATATATATATATATATAATATATATATATATATATATAATATATATATATTATATAATATATATATATATATATATATATATATATATATATATATATATTATATATATATATATATATATATATATATATATATATATATATATATATATATATTATATATATATAAGTATATAATATAAATACATATATATATATATATATATATAATATATATATAATATATATATATATATATATAATATTATATATATATATATATATATATATAATATATTATACATATATATAATATATATATATATATATATATATATATATATATATATATATATATATATATAATATATATATATATATATATATCTATACATATATATACTATAATCTAATCTACTATCTATCTATCTATCTACTATATATATATATATATATATATATATATATATATATATATATATATATATTATATATATATATAAAATATATATCTATATATATATATCTATATATATATATCTATCTCTCTATCTCTATATTGTATATCTATCTATATATATATATATATATATATATTATATATATATATATATATATATAGTATATTACTTATATATATATATAGTATAATATATATATATATATATATATATATATATATATAATATATATATATTAATATATATATACATATACACACACACCACACACACACACACACACACACACACACACACAACACACACACAACACTATTATATATATATATATATATATTATATATATAATATATATATACACATAGAGATAGGAGATAGATAGGATAGATAGATAGATAGATATATATGATTAAGAATAGATAGATAGATAGATAGATAGATAGATGGATGATAGAAAGATAGATAGATAGATATTACACACACACACAGATAGATATAATATATATATATAGATAATATAATATAGATATATATATAGATGCACACCATATACCACAAAATATATATATATATATAACATATATATATATATATTTATATATATATATATATATATATATAGGGATATTATATATATATAATATATATATATATATATATAGTATATATATATATACATATATATATATATACTAACCACCATACTAACATACATCTTTCAACTGAATGGTTACCCCTTCCTTTTGCAGTGTTTGTGCATTCGACCTGATAAAATCTTCCAAATGATGTAAAAAAATATGTCTAATAATTCCATTTATTAAAAATTCACCATATCTTTCTGATGTTTTTCCGATAAGCACTTATATTACAGATGTTAACCGGCATCTATTTTCAGGTACCCTCAGCACTGCTAATAAACACTTCGCTTTCTACTGGTGTCTGTTGGATAGGAGAAGAAGGGAGGAGAGGAGGAGGAAGGGAGGAAGGGAGGGAAGAAGGGAGGAAGGGAGGGAGGAAAAGGATGGAGGAAGGGAGGGAGGGAAGGGAAGGGAGGGAGGGAGGGAAAAAGGCGAAAATTTAGGGAAGGAAATGACTGTCGTTGTGGATGTTGGCGTATGTTGTTTAGGTGTTTCATGTCCTGTTGGTCTCCTGTTTTCTGTTAGAAGAGTGTGGGGTCAATGTCACTGTTTTTGTTGTTCGATTTAAGCCATCTTGAAAAAAAAAAAATGTTTTAGGAGCCGTGGTTGATACTGGATTGCTATGGAAATCATGAATAATGTTTTCCTAGTTCTTATCATAATTGCTTGGGATATGCGTTACCGAAAGACGCATTGTATGATATGCACCGTCATATAACTGAATATATAACAAATGTTTTATAAAAAAATAATAACAATAATAAAATAATAATAATAATAACAACAGCAATAATAATAATAATAATAATAATAATAATAATATAATATAATAATGAAGCCAGCTTCCCTTCAACTGAATTCTAAACCTTCATTCCCCAAGCAAAAATTAATAACATTAACCCCCATAACATAGATCTTATCAAACCCTCAAAAGCCCTTTTGTATTGTCATTTCCCCCCGTGCATTTCCCCTCCGCTTCCCTCGCGACGCCTAACCCGAGTTCCCGGCTTGTCTGCTGAAATCCGACGGCCTGCCAGGAGAGCGTCAAGGCGAAAGGGGGCTAAGAGTCGTTCCCGGGGACCCAGGATTATCTTTTTGGCTTTTGTTTATGGCGACAACTCGCTCCGGAAGGGATGACGGGGCAGGGTATTTCGGGGGCTCTGTCGCGCTGGCTCTAAGAAGGTTATTGTTGGCCGGGGAAGGAGTAGGAAGGGGTGGGGTGGGGGGGGGTGGGGGTTTAGGAGAGGGAAGAGAAAAAGAATGGGAAAGAAGGAACAAAGATAGATAGATAGATAGATAAGAAGTTTGATAGTCAGATAAATACCTGTCAGTATAGATCCTCGGATAAATTGGTATTCTGTAAGATAGCTGGCAAGATGAGGAAGACGAGAAGAGAAGGAGAGACGGAGGGAAATTGAGGGGAAAAGAAAGGTGTTATTAGGAGAGGAGTCTCACTCAGGCAGCCATGGAGTCGCAGTCGTGTCGGCGTGAAACCTCTCGTTTATTTTAGTGGAACCGATCACTGGTTCGGCGCTAGGCTCCCCCGCCCCTGATCCGTCTGCCCTTCAGAGGATCATGAAGGGCCTCGTCCTTGAGTAAGATGGATGGCACCTTGGGAGTCTGGGCGCTGCTGGTGCCACGGCGAGAGGGAGGCTCTTCCTCTTCCTCCAATAATTCTCTCTCTCTCATTAGCCTCCTTCTGCTTCTCTCCTTCTCTTTCCATTTCCCCCTTTCACTCCAGGGACCGGGAGCTCAAAATTTCGCGGATCGAACTTTCTTTTCCTTTTCCTGAATCGGATCAGTCAGCGAGTGTCTCCGAAAGCGTATCAAGATGTCTTCGTCTTAACCACTTTTACCCCACAGGTTTTTTTTTTTTTTCCCAGAGGAACAGATATATATATTTAAGCAGGATATGTCGATTGTTCAGTCCAGGTCTACAAAGCAGTGAGGAACCCGATGTGAACAAGAACCATTTTTCACACGATGGAACACAGTCGGATGAACAAACGGACGCAAAAAATACCCTACCAAACCTTCAACCCAAAAATCCTAGCCAAAAAAAAAAAAAAAAAAAAAAAAATCCTTATAAACTATATCCATTTCCCCTTTATAAAAAAAATGATTTTTTTTTTTTAATCTTGAAACCTCCAGCGTCCATGAACCTTTCGACTGATGCCACACACTCTTCTATTTCAGGAGTCACTATACTGCTCTCGCTTACCGTATTCCTAAACATTGTCACCGAAAATATACCTGAGACATCCGATGCTGTACCCCTCATATGTATGTAAACCGGACAACGATGGTAGCTCAGTAGATTGTACTCACTCACATCTGAACGTTTGTCGTATAAAAAAAAGAAGGAAGATATATAAATCTACCACGACTCTCATGTTCAGTTTTTTTTTATCTTTCAGTCTTGCACACTAACATACTTACTTCTACACTCGGACGCCATAAGTGTCCACATGCACATATATAGCGGCAGTTTTGTGATCCACCGTTCAGTCGTCTTTTTGGTTCTATTCACGAACGAGCTTCCGTTACAGTCACTCTCAAGGGTGATGGAAATCAAGTCTCTATTTAAGTTCGTCTTATTATTTATAATCATCATCATTCTTATCATCATCGTCATCATCATCATCGAAATGATGTGGTGATAATAATAAGGATAAAGTTAAAAGCAACAGTAATACTGCTACTATGATAATGATATCAGAATTAATCATAAAACTAATAACACTAATAATAATATTCATTAGTGATAACAGGGATAATGCTAATAATGATAATAAGGAAAATAGTATTGAGAATAATGATAGTATTGATAATGATTATATTGATAATGGTAATTGTAGAAATTAAGATATGAACTGAAATTACATTAATGATAATAATGGTAATAATGATATTGGTTATAATGATATTGATGATGATATTAATACCAATATTGGAAATTTAATTGTAACGATAATAAAAATTATAACATTAATAATGATGTTAATGATAAAGTAGTAGTAGTTATAATAAAAAACAATAATAGTAATTATAATAATAATAATAATAATAGTAATATAATAATAATAATAATAATAATAATAAATAATATCAATGATAAAGGTAATGTTAATTGATAATAATCACAATGAATACGATGATAAAAATATTACTAATGTTACTGATAACGATAGTGATGATAATAATGATAATGACGAAAATATTAATAATGATGATAACATAACATCAACCATGATAATAATAAAAACAAAAGTTATTATGGTAATGATGGTAAAAATTATTATTATCATTATTGAAATTATTATTATCATCGTTGTTATCATTATTATTATTATCATTATCAATTCATTGTTATTAATATTATTATGATTGTTATTATTGCTATTGTTATTGTTATTGTTAATATTGATAATAATGATAAGAAATATGAATAATAACAATAACTATACTAACAAAAATAACAATGATGGGAATGGTAACAGTAAACAACAATAATAAAAACGATGGTGATGATAATGATGATAATAATAATAATGATAATAATAATTATAATGATGTTGATAATGATAATGATGATAATAAATATGGAAATGATAAAAATGACGATAATGATGATGATGATGGAGATGATGATAAAGCTAATAATAATAATAATAATAACAATAATAATAATAATAATAATAGTGATAATAATAATAATAATAATAATAATAATAATAATAATAATAATAATAATAATAATAAAATAATATAATAATAATAATAATAAATAATAATATAATAATAATAATGATAATGATAATAATGCTAACTATGATATAATAATGATAATACTGTAGCAGTTGTACTACTAGTGCAATTAGTGCTACTACTAATAATGATGATATTTATAATAAAAAGCAGGATTATCATCATGATAAAATTGGTAATTAAAATATGTAATGATAAGCTCATAATAATTATTGCTGATAAATAATAATAATGATGATAATGATAATAATACTATCGATAAAACGCAATAATGATAACCACTAAAATTAAAATAATACTAATAGTTATAATAACAATAATAATATTGATAAGGAATGAATGATGGAAATCATACTAATAACCTAAATTATGATAATAATTATGATACTAACAACATTAATGATCATTTTATCATTATCATTATCATGATTATCATCATTATCATTATTATTTTTATTATTAATAATATCATTATCATTATTATTATTATCATTATTATGATTAATATCATGGTGATAATAACTAATGATAATAATGGGAAATGATATTGATAATAATAATAATAGGGATAATAATAAAGGTAATGATAATAGTCATTGTAAATAATAATGATAATAATAATAGTGATAATGATAACAATAACAATAATGATAATGCTAATGACGGTAATAATAAAGAAAATAACAATAATAATATTAATGATAATGATGATGATGATTATGGTAATGAAATTAACAACAACAATAATAATGATAATAATGTAAATTATTATGATAAAGATAAAGATAGGAATCATGATAATGAAAACGAATATAAAGATAATAATAATAATTAATAATAGTAATAGTAAAAATAATAATAATAATGATAATTAAAATAATGATGACAGAAGTACTAATGATGACACTAATGATAAGAATAATGATAGTAATAATTATAATGGTGGCAGTAAATAAGCTTATTATTTTTATTTCTTTCATTATTATTAATAATATTATTGTTAATATTGTTAGTAATATAATATAATATATATTATTGTATAATATTGTTAGTAGTACCAGTAGTAGAAATATTTTTATTATTTTATTATTATTATTGTAGTAACAATATTATAATTATCATTGTTATTATTATAATCATGTTTATCTTTTTTATTGTTAATATCATTATCATTACTATTACCTTTTTCATTATTATTGTTATTGTTATCATTATCAACATTATTAATATTGTTATTATCATTATTATTATTACCATACCGATAACAAAGTTTTGTTGTTATTATTATCGTTATTCTTCTTAATTATTACCATAATCATTATTACTAGCATCAAAAATATTAATGGTATTATTTGTTATCATTATTATTTTTACGTTGGTAATGATAACAAAATTCGCTACTATGTTTTAACTGCACTAAGAAAAGCAACAATATGGAAAATCAAGTGAAAATCCAGAAATGAAATGAATATTCTTATTCTTATTAATATTTTAGGATTAATTATTTTTTCTTACAGTTAACGTGACTTTATATTATTATTGTTATTATTAATATTATTATTATTATTATTATTATTATTATTATCATTATTATTATTATTATTATTGATATAATAATTACTATTGTTACTATGATTATTGTCCTTTTATTACTATTATCATTATCATTATTATTAATTTACTTATATAATAATAGTTATGATATTAATGGTAATACTAATGACAATAATAATGATTATTATTTTTGTATCATCATTATCATTACTATCATATTTTTTCATTATTATTATTATTATCATTATACACTATTTTAGTATTATTGATTTTTATTATCATCATCATGAATATTATTATAATTACCATTATTAATATTATCATAAACTAATCTTTATTACTATATATTTTTTATTATAAATGTTAATGTAATTATTATTTTCCTATCAATATCATTATATCATGTTTATCATTATTGTAGTATCATCATTATCACTATATTATTGTCATTGTTAACACACTCATTAATGTTATTGATATAATTATTTATAATATTATTATTAGTGAAAATTATGATATCCTCATTGTTATCATAATCATCATAATTTTCATAATCATCATCATCATCGTCAACTAAAATATGAGCATTCTCATCGTCATCAATATCTATATAGAAATAATAAGACTAATACTAGTACTATTAATACTGATAATGATGGTAATATCAGTCAATACCAATGATGATAATGGTGTTGAAAATGATGATAATATCAATAGCAATGATGATAAAGATAATGATGGCAAAAATGATAACAGTAATAGAAGTAGTAATGATGATCATGATAATAATAATAATGATTATGATAGTGGTAAACAATGATCATAATAATAACAATGAAAATTATAATAGCAAAAATAGTAATTAAACAAAAAATATATATAATATTGATAGTAATTCCAATAACATTAATCACAACAAGAATAATATTGTTAATATTAATAGTGATAATGATTTTAGTTGATGTATAATTAATCATCTTATCATTATTATCATAATTTTTTTTACAATTACCTTTATTATAATTATTATCATCTTTCCTTTTTTTACTCTTATTGTTATTTCTATTATTAACATTATCATTATCAGTATCGTTACACTCATCATTAATACGACAATTATTGTTATCAGTATTACTACTATTATCTTTTTATTGTTATCATTATCATTATTTTAATTTTGTTACTACAATGATCATTATGATTATCATTATTATTGTTGTTATTACTCTTACGAATATTGTTGTTATCAATATCATTATTATCATCATAATTATCATCCTCAGTATCACCATCACCATCTTCATTATTGTCATTATTGTTATTATTGTTCTTACTATTATTATTAGTTATTTTTATGGCAATAATTACAATTATTCTTGTCATCATTGTTATTTTTTATATTATTTTAATTGCTATTATTCATATTACTTTTTATATCTTTATCTTTCTTGTTATTATCATTATTATCACTATAACAATAACAATAGCAGGAATTGCAATAAAATGATAACATTAAAGACAGCTATCATGATTATGATAATTATCGTTATCACTATCATTATTTTTATCATTACTGTTATTATTACTTTTACTATCGTTATTATTATCATTATTACCATAATTTCTCTTATCATTACTACAGTTCTCAATATTATTTTTTCCTTATTATGATCATTATTAACAATAATGTTCTTGTAATTGGCATTATTTTATATTTTCTTTTATTAATATTATTTATTTATTTATTTATTATTATTTTTTTTTTTTTTTGCTATTATATTATTCACTAATATCATTTTATCCGCTTCATCATTTTTCCAATTATCACTATTGATATTACAGCTATCATTATTAATCGTTGCATAACCATTCGTCATGATATCGTGTTATATATTATATATATATATATAATATATAATATATATATATATATATATATATATAATATATATATATATATA